GGAACAGACAAGTTGCTGTCCTTTTGTTCTTCAGTCTAGTTGTGGAGGACATCGCTTCACTGGCCCAAGTTGGCACCATCATTGCGCTCTTCCCAGGCGAGGCAGATCAGTCGCCGGCTTCTGGACAGCCACTCACCGTGGCTGCTGGCTACACACGGTAGCCCATGGCAACCCACTTCAACAGGGGCTGCAGCCTACACCGTCGCCGGCGACTCACGGCAGCCCAGCTCCAGGTTGAGCTGTTGTTCAGCATCTTAGCATGAAAGGCAGTGTCACTGGCCCTCATATGTGGGATCCGAACCGGGGCCCTCTGGCATCCCAAGTCAGTTCTTAACCGTTGTGCCACTCGGCTGGCCCGATCTCTTCTTTTTTTAATAAATGGGTTCTATATTTATTAAGGGGCTTTACAACTATGACAGGGTCAAATACTGGTTATTTAAATATCACAATAATGTGTGTGTGTGAGCACTTACACCAAAATCTAGAATTACTGTCATTATAGGAAGTGCTGCCTGTTTGGGGTGGGGAAGTGCTTGCTGTACCATCATAGTTCAGGGCTATGAAGAATCAAAGATGACAGAAGACCCCAGAGCAAAGTTTCTCAGATTGGGGTCAGGAAACCTGCCTCGGAACCTTTATTTCTCTTGCAAGATTTGACTTTTCCTTAGTGCTACCATCTGTAATCTTGCCTCAAAACAAAGAGAAAGCACCGCAGGCTCGGGTGCAATTGTCTGATTTGCACACCGTCAAGTGGCAATATGTGCCTCTGGTGAGCAAATTAATAGGATTAAAGCAGCTATCAAACATGCTGCTGCAGAAAGGATTCCTACCACCTAGCTGCACATGTTTATCACGAACGGGAATCCTCACAGTCATAATAATAGAAAACAAATACATTTCATATTTTAAAATGCTAGACACGAGCCATTAGCAATTTATTTTTTCCCCCAGAACTGGTTAATTAAAACTGTAAATAAGGCTGCATTATGTTTGCATGTACTCCTGGGTCTTCTTCACGAAGAACCAGAAGTGGATGGCTACGTGATTGTTCTGTTGCATATTACGACCCAACCTTATCCACCTGCCCACACTCCCATTAGAGGAGAAGGCCGCACTCAGGAGAGGGGGAATTTGTGAGAAAGGCTTCCAAGAAAAGGGCGTGGGGGGAGGCGGGCCCAGGGAGCTCAAGAAATGTGGCTTTCTGAAGCACTATAAGAAGAGAATATTTTCCTACTGGGTTTAATAGGTGGGTTATTATTATTATTACTTATTTTTTAAAGATCAAAAGAATAGGATTCCCCAGTAGGAACTGTAAAAACACCTGTTATACAAGAAGCCAAAGATCAACCAATTTTAACTTTCTTATTTTACAGTTGCTCACATACCACACACAGGAGGGTATCACTCCCACACTCTTGGCATGTTAATGATTGATAGCCTTTATTGGTACCAATTCATAGACAAAATTGAGGAAATTTCTGTCTTTTCCTCCATGATTTAATGATATGTAATTATTTCTCAGTCATGGTCACCTTGGTGGGAGATAAATCTTTAACCAGTATATATAACTAGACCCATGAAAACAAAATGTAAAAAACAGATAAATTATAAGTTGATCATTTTCATTTGCAAAACAAGGACTTCTTTAAATTATGAATTCTTTGGTACATTATAGAGTTAATTCACAAGCCATTAATTACTATTAATGAATGAACAATGAGCAAGTCAATACTGTTTACTGATTGAAAAATGTAACTGACCTTCCCTCTTTAAATCGAACTTCCACAGGGCAGACCATCTCTCTTTTGTTCACCGACATCCAGCACAATGTCTGATCCTTAGTTATTTGAGGAATGCATGAATAAAGAAGTCATAAGGTTCTTGGAATCTTAAATTGGGGAGGTTGACTGACAGGCGTTAGGATTTCCTTGAATCCTCTGAAATTGTCTTTCTGAATTCTGAATTCTGAAAAGAATTCGTTCATATATCTCTGGGGAGAGGACCCACCACCTTCATTAGATTTCAAAGGGGTCTGTGACCTCCCTGAAAGGTAAGGAATCATTGGCCTATTTCAATGGTGAAACAGGATTCAATATGAAAGAACCCACCTGTAGCCTGAAACAAAGTATGCTACCCATACCTTTATGTGGAAAGATGTGTGGACATATGTATCAGCCTGTGTGTAACTTCCAAGAACAGAAACAGAAATGTCTCAGTGAATTTACAGGACAATCCACATTCCCACTTTCCCGGAGTAACTGATCATTGCTATAGTTACTGGGCTCCAACAGTAGCCGCTTGCATTCCCTGTTTCTTGGCAGCAACACCCATCGCTCAGGCCAGAAAAAAGGAGCCTGTAACGCCCTCCTTTCACTTGTTTGCAATGCTGACATCCCTCTTTGTGGAAGTTCCTTTTAGTAATAAACCTGTAAACCTCCAGGTTCACAAAGGCACAGGGCCATGTTTATAAAGGGCAGGTGCCCAGGCAATTTGAGCAAACCACCCTGGGATGTCCCTTCCCTTGCCCTATGGCCAGAGAGGGGATCCAACCTAATCAGGCTCCAGACACCTCCAAGTGCTGCCTCCATTCACAGGGCGGGAGAGCTGGAGATGGGCTGGGGGAGGTTAATTGGTCGTTGTATAGTAAATCTCTTCCTTCTCTCCCAGCTCCAGTAGACGCTTCCCTGCAGTAAATTTCCCTCCCTCATTGTCCTGAATATGGAGACTTCAAACATAAATTTTTCAGAGAGAAGGTGTTTGATGTGCCACTAACTCTCAGTCATCCATATTAACAGAGACAGGCAGTGGTGCAGACACCTCAAAGCCACGGCTCTTTCTACTTAGCTTTACATGTAGTTCATTGTTTTGAGGGGCTTGGTGGCAGACTTACCTCCCTAATTATGTTTGTCTTTGCTTCTTTATTAAAATGCATTTGTCTACCTTAGGGCCAGGCAGGTGGCTGACATGAAGATTCTGACACAGAGTTTATAAAACTCACCGAGGGAAATCCACAAGGCGATCGGATAATCAAACGTGACTAGATTTGAGTTCACGTCCTTAATCACCTGTGATCAATTACTTTGCTCCTCTGGGACTAACGTGAGCCCGGGATAAGACATAATTATAGGAGGCTAGTTGGAAGGCAATGAGTCTTTACATTTAGATGAAGACACAAGACCGCTGTGGCCAAAATTGATAACAAAATCAATGCAGATGTTTTCCCTGCCTGGGCCCACAACCTTCAGTTCTGCAGCCAGAGTTCTTTCTATGCAAATCTCATGATGTCCATCCTGCAATGGTTCCCTGTGCTAGTCATTAGGGCCGATCACAAATATCCCACCGTCTCCTCCCCAGCACATGGTAGGACCATACACCTCTACCCATGAAGTGAGATGTGGCGGTGTCACTGGTGTTGGTCACTGCAATGCTAGTGAAAGTGGCATGTGTCACTTCCAGGAGGATGGTTCCTGAGCCCGCATTTGCTTGGCTACACACTTTGTCTGGTGAGGCAACTGGCAGCATCTGAGATGGTGGCTGCTCCCTCAGCCTGGGTCCCCGCGTGACTGTGATGAGCAGAGCTCCCACCAGCCAGTGATGGGCATGTGGTAGGAGCAAGAAATGAACCCTTGCTTTTTAAACCACTGAGGTGTTAAGGTACGTAGTTAACTCAGCCTATCACTCCCATGGCACCACAGTTGTCTGAGTTATCTCGCCAGCTAGACACTGAGCAACTTTAGGCCACAATGATTTCTTCCTTAAGATGTTAAGTCCACGGGATAGCATATTTAAAACAACGCGGTAGAAAAATGAAATACTCTTCTTTCCCGGCCTCTGGGATCCTCTATGTTTATGTGTTTCCAACACTTTCGCCCCACCCAGAACCACTGGCTGAAATGATAAGGTGTCTGTGGTGTTCAGATATACGGGGAGTGGCGAAGCTACTCTTTTGGAGCAGGTGTACACGTGGCAAGAGCTGGCAGATGGAGAAAGAGAGGCACACTTAGGTTGCAGGCATTCCAAATACAATGGATTCCTGGGGCAGACAAGATTTTGAAATAAATTCTTGGGTGGCCACATGGGAAAAAAAATACACTGAAGTGTTAGTTTTACAAGGGATCACAGGTGTTATCTGAACCAGACTCCTACATCAATCATCATCATCATCATCATCATCATCATCATCATATCATCCCAATATTTACAGACAACTTACTATGTACCAGGTATACCTCTCACTGCCTAAAACTAACTCATTGAATCTTCACAACCCACAACGTAGCTATTATTTCCTTTTTACAGATGAAGAAATTAAAGCAGAGAGAGGTAAAATTCCCTATGGTCACACAGCTAGCAAATATCCCTCTCTGAATTCAGCATCTGCTTGAACACTCCTCATGATGGGGAGCTCACTAACTCCTAATGCATCCCACCCCCCTGAGCCATGTCCTGCCTCCCCCGCCAACTGCCGTCCCCTGGACAGCTCTGCCTCTTAGACCAACACAAAACAATTCTGCCCTCTTCTCTCCAAGGCAGCCTTTCACATAACTGAAGGCAGGAACTGTGTGGCCCTTTAAGCTTCTCTTCGCCAGTCTAACCAGCCCCAATTCACTCACCCATTTCCACTGTGGCAACGCCTGGGGTCCCTCACCATCCCAGGTCAGTGACTCACACACTAGCTGGTTAAGTCAGCGATGGGGAACTGGTGACTCTCCCTTTTAGTCTTGCATTGAGCTAATGGCCTCTACAACCCCAGCCCATTTCTTTCCAAAGCAGGGTCCAGAGGCTACAGAGCAGCTAGCTGGCTGGCTACGTGTCCTTGCACATGTTACTATCCTGGCAGATGGAATGCTAAAGGACCTGCACGTTCCAAGTCCCTCATTCTTTCTCCTGCTGGAGGTCTGTTCCTGCCCCTCCTCATGCTCCCCCACCTCACCCCTACTTCCCTCCCCTCACCACTCTCCTGCCCCCAGAGCAGTGCTGACAGCAGGCCTTCCACTCACCATGGAGTTCATGGCAAAGTGATTGTGCTGTGTCTGGAGGTCGAGGGCGTGCTGGTAGCTGACTCCGATCTCTGTATGGCTCTGCAGGAATAACTCCTTGTTGTGGCTTATCCAGTCGAACATCTAGAAGGGACAAGACGGTACAGAGTCGTCAGAGGGGTCATGGGTCCAACAGCGCAAAACTTTCAGGGTTACTGGGGGAAAACAAAAAAAAGAAGCCCTTCTGCAGTTGCCCAGTAAGAACCAGTCATCACTCTCGGAGTGGGGTGGCCCATAGCATGGCTTCCCTGGAGAGCTGTCACTTTTGGCATGAGGACCCACTGTGGGCCTCTGTGTTTCTCTACAGAGCCTAAGGGCAAATGAGGGAGAGAAGCAGGGAGATGAAGCTAATTACTCCCCCTAGTTACTTCCTCTTTGTAAACATGGTTAGAAAGCCTCAAAAGTGCCCGATGCGTGCTTCAGGGACAGGTGATGAGGGGACCAACTGGGGGCTTCATCCATTCCCTGACCCCAGTAGAGGAGTGAAACCCTTGTTGGAAGCAACAGGGCATCCTAACATGCCACCCACACACTGCCTGATCACGCTTTTTGTAGAATTGACTCTGAACTGAATCATCTTATCTTGTACCTCTACAGCCTCGCAAGTACGGGGTTTCTGCGATCACCCATCAGGAACCAGAGAGGAAGATTTTAAGGGTAGAGTAAGTACTGTGTCACAGTGGATACTGAGCCATTTTCTTCCCCACAGCTCTGTACTCTGGTTTTCTTTTAGGTTTCCACCTCTCTCCCTGACACGCTTTCAAGGTCACTGACCAGAACTCCAGCTCTAGGGGAGGGTCTGACCACTCTAAGGGTTATCAGGATACCAGATCTAAGCCAATAAGTGTATAACATTTCCCTGCCAATGGGGTTGTCTCCGAAATAGGAATGTTATCCAATTCAGTACAATAACATATGAGGGGAAGTTTGCTAGACGTTTCTGGGAAAACAGAACCCTAGTTCTTTCGATATAACTTCTCTTCCTCTGATACTGTCATTGCGACGCTGAGCCCCAAATTGCTGCAGCCATTCTGCTGGCAGCTTAAAGGTGAAGCCAATGGGCAGAGAAAGGGCGTAACCAAAACAATGGCAAGAAACACGGGCAGAGTCCTGACTGAGCCGTGCCTGATCTCCACCTTGTTGTTGGACTTCCTTACTACCTGAGCCAAGAAACCTTATTTATTTTTAGCCTATTTAAGTTGGAATGTTTTGTTATTTTCTGCTTACAGTAGTCAAGTGACACACCCAAGAAAGGTGTGAAACCTTTAGGGAAGAGGACTGCTCTATGTGGAAGTGACACTCTATGTTTGGGAAGGGCTAAGGGCTGCTGCTCAGCTGAGCACAGGTGCAGGCTGAGATGCTGCAAAGACCACGCCAGCTTTCCTGGAAGAAGAACTGCGGTCTTGTTCCATTATTTCCTTTTAAACAGAAAAGTAGATTTACCGTTTCAGTTACACTCAACCAACATTTACAGGACACTCTCTATGTGCCAGGCACTGTCCCAGGCAATGCAGAGGCAAAAATGACTAAAATGTGGTTCTTGAGTGTAAGTGGCTTAAAGGCCATGGTGGAAAGCAGACATAGACTCAGATACAATGGCAGTACAACTTGACATGTGACTCGATTAAAATCACAGCTTGAAGAAAATATCTATCAAGATAAAGGCCAATATGGTCTATCAAAGTAGCACCCACCCTTGATGGCACAGGGACAGGGGAGAGCAGAGAAAGCATCCCAGAGGAGGTGACACCTGAGTTGAGCTTTGAGTCAGGTAGGAATTAGCCAGGTGAAGATGAGTGGGATGCGAGATCCAGGTAAAGGGGAGATCAAAGGATCTCCCTGTGGGGAGCCCAGTGTGTCTAGGGCTTGGAAAGCACCTCGGCTGTGCTTCCGGAGCCTGATGTAGGATAAGATGTGGCTGGCGTGGTAGGTGGGATGACTGACCATGGACAGCCAGAGACACTTCAGGCTTCAGAGAACCTGGACCATATACCGTGAGCAGCAAGATGTGTGTGGGGGTTTTAAGCTGCGCAGTGAAGTGTGATATGAGCTTTGATAACAGCACGGGATGTGGATTGGAGGGGGCAAGACAGAACATAAAGAATGATTAGGACGCTGTCACAGTCATCCTGGTGAGTGAGCGTGAAAACTTGGAAACCTGGGTTAGAAGAGTGTCAGTGGAGTTGGAGGGGTGGGCCGACTTGAGATCTACTAGGAACGGGGCAGAGGACTCACAACTGTTTGGGGAGGGAAGGCAAGCAAGGGCTGGAGAGAACTGCCTGGTGTCTGGCGTGGCACCCTGGTATGGAGCCCTGGTTCCATGCCTGGCTCTGTCACTAGAAAAAGTGCTACTTTAAGAGGAGGGTAAGAAGCTGGGGTGGGGTGGGTAGACAGTGGGTTCAGTTTTAGTTGTGGCAAGTTTGAGAGGCTTAGGAGAATTTCAAGCAGTGATGTCCTATGGGCAGTTAGATACATGTGTCTGGAGGTCAGGAAAGAGATTGTGACAACTCACATGAAAGTATAAAAACAACACCTTCTGAAGGCAAGCATGCATGATTTGATGATTCTCCCTTTTGAATTACCCGGATCACTCTGGCTAGCTACACAGATATAAAGAAAGGACAAAAGTATCATTCTTCACTTTCAGGCGTCAGCACAGGCGTCAGGCTGGTGGCTCCGTGTCCGTATCTGTTGTGGGCACTATGCTGGGTCTGCGAGCCATGGCCAGCCCCACATCATAGACAGTCAGGCAGGGCTTCTGCCTTTTTAAAAATTATTATTAAGGACAACGGGGAAAAGAAGACAGGTGCCCCAGGAGCTTGGGGGAATCTCATTCTGTAATTTTTGATCTTTAAAATTCTGCCTCTCGACCCTATTTGAAAATAATTTCTCATTTATTTCCCTTATTGACAAAAGAATCAATCCAGTTAATAAAAATGTGAAATGCCTGAAGACCTTGGAACTTGTGATGAAAAGCACTCCCTCCACATAACGTTCTTGGCTATCCCAGTGGTCGAGTACTGACCTTCCCTGTATTTTCTGTGACATGCTAATTAGATATGCAAATAAGCAGCGGGGTTATGTGCTAGCTCCAGAATGATTCATCGGTCCAGCGCCAGGTCCCTGCTGGACTACAGAGCAAGGAGAGCTGAACACCGGCCAGTTAGAGTGGAAAGCAGCTAGAACCGTGAGTTACAAAGCAGGCGAGAGTGGGGAATACTGGAGGAAATGTGCACCTCACTGAATGGGCTTCGCACAGAACGAGGTCCATCCGACTCTGCACAAGCGGCTCTCCCATGGCCTGGCATTCAGGGAAAGCTCAGCTGTGCTGCAGGCAGCGTTCCAAAGAGGTGACACACGTCTCAGGCAGAGAGAAAAAGATCTGCTCTGGGGACCAGATAATCCCACGTGATATCAGGAACCAGGGTCTCTCCAGGGTGGCTATTTGCTCACCCACTGTCTCAAGTCATCTCTGGGCCTGAATCTGTTGCCTAATGGTATATAATCCTCACCCTTGCCAGCCTGGCTGTCTGCACGGGTCACTTTCATTTCTGCTACATTCAGTGAGACTGGCTGCAGAGAGAGAATGTGTGCATGTGCACGTGTGTGTGCATGTGCACTCAGGTGCATGTGTGCATGCAAGTGGGATGAAGACTAGGCTGGTTCCAAGTCTGGCTCTGTCACTAACTACCCATGTGGCTATGGGCAAGTCTCTTCATTTTTAGACTTCTCATCTGCAAAGGATAATTAAGTGGTTCTCAGAATGGAGGTAAGCATCCTGGTTTACAATCAGCTCAGTTTGGAAACTTACAGGCTATATTTTTTTTGTTCAAAATAAAAATACTTTTGAGTCGCCTGGATCAGAAGGCATATTCATTGCTAGAAATTAACATTTTGAACTTTTTAAATAAAGTCACATAAATGAGATAAATGTCTAAAACCGACGCTGTATACCTGAAACTCATATAAAGTAATATTGAGTGTCGGCTATAATTTTAAAAAATAGTCAGGGATATAAAGTACAGCATAGGGAATATAGTCAATAATATTGTAATAACTATGTACAGTGTCAGATGGATAACAGACTTATTGGGGTGATCACTTTGTGAGGTACATAAATGTCTAATCATTACATTGTTTTGTACACCTGAAACTAATTTAAAAAAAGAAGAAAGAAAAGAAATCACGTCAGTGAGGAAACTGACTGAGAGCCAGAGAAAGGCAGCTTTTTCATCTCAGCTCTGATATCTGCCTGGTGCCTTAGAGCAAAACGTTCATTTGCATACTTCTCACTGCATCCATCAGGCCCACTTTACAGATGGGAAACAGGGTCATAGAGGTGAAGTCCAAGGTCTAGAATTCATTTATTCCAACCAATGCACATTCCACCCAGTACCTGTTGAACAGACTCCTGGGACACTGCCCTACCTCCTTCACTCTGTCTGGGCTCCACAGGGCAGGTGACCCCCAATAGGCAGCCACCTGTGAGGCTCCAGCTGAAGTAAGGGCTGTTCCTCCAATGGGGCCATTCACTCTCCAATAACCATCCTCCTCCTCTCTCCTTGGCCCTGTCCCATCAGTGCCTGGGGACAGCTGATTCTGGTAGCTCCACTTCTCTCAATGGCTACTTAGTGAATGAATGAATGAATGAATGCACAAGCAAACTGGCCATAGGCTCTGGAGTTGTTCATCTCCAGATGAGCTGACTCTTTCTAAGCAGCCTTCCACCCAGAACATTTTATTATTTGATCTGTTTGAATTGGTTTCTCTGGAAGTGCTTGAACTAGACTGACCCAAAAATCTAAAGAAAAACTAAAGACAGTATCTTTACAGTGGTTTCAAACATTTTGATCTTTTTTTTTTGGAGGAGGGGAAGCTATAAATGGTAGGTTCAACAAAATGTACTATAACAACAAAATTCCTGTAAGAGGAAAGTTCATGTCTAAATAATGAAATTTTATCTCTTTGTTTGGAAACCAACATAACTTTGTCTAATTAAGAAGATAGATGTTACATGTAAGATACTTGGGCTTTTTTTCTTTTTCGTGTTTTGCTTTTATCTAAGCTACGGTAAGTAAATCTTT